CCTGATATTTAAATGAGTTGATGATGTTCATTGACGAAGTTCATAACTTCTATCCATTTCAAATCCTGCAAGTGAATTTAATTATCCGGAATAACAAATAAGTTAGTTGGTAAGATCTCAAGGATAAAAAAATCAATTCAATATAACTGTCAGTAATTTAATTAATTGATGGACATCTGTAATTTTAAACATTGGGAGATTATTAAGTATATAATAATGAGGAGCATGAAATATAATTTTGAGATAAGACCCAATAAACTAATAATAAGTTTTTAGCAAATTAACTTATTATTAATTGACCAATAGACATTTGATCCAATTGTACTTCCTGTCTTATAAAAATTTTTTCTTATTGAGGTAAAGGGTTAAAGTCCCCTCTCCCTCCAAAAAAAAAAAACTTATTATTAATTGACCATAGGATGTTTGTTTTGGGTTACACATAAGATTCTTAGGCGGGAATCTCAGCTTTTATTTCTCCTTAAAGTCTCTACTATAGCCTATAAATAAATGCACCACCTGGTTCTCTTAGCCATAACTCTTACCTACACGTTTAGAAAAGGCAGAGAGAGAGTAAGGGAGAGAATTCGGAGGATTACAACCCACACTATATTCGAATTTTTAGTGTGGAACGATATACGACAGAAGATCATCAACTTCATTGATCCTACGGTTCGATCTGGAAAAAAAAAATTCCTTGTACTATTCATATGTGAACCCTAAATCCGCTTTATAGGGTTAATAAATGAATAAATTTTTGTAATTAATTATACGCATTGTCAACGAATTTTAGGACCACTATTCCAACAGATGATACATTCCAATAAAAAATGTACACACAAAAATACATGAAGTAGATAAAAAGAGACTATAAATTTATTTATTTTTTTTAAGAAAAAAACAAATTTTAGGCAAACTTAACTAACAGAAACTGAAATTAGTTGAAATGGGAGCAAGATTGTGACACCCCAAAATCCGGGGGTCCATTGATTTCTCTTCAACCCACGGAATGCCCGTGAATACCGAGTAACTCGATATCTCAACATTATGCCCCATTTACCGGGGTCCATCATTTATTAAAAATTTGGGCAGAGTCTCATTTGTAAGGAGAACTCTACTCAAAACACAACCTGTGTATTATATAATAACAAGACCCATCCGATGTCCTATAAACAATGACCACACCGGGTCCATTTATCTATATTCATACAAACATGCAAGATTATATTAAAACAGTCGATATAGATTCTATCACAATTCCTTTACACATTACATGCCAAAATTTAATTACAAGTCTAATTTTACAAAAGAAATGGATTGAAAGCCAAAGTCGGCTTTTCTTCCTCCTTAAGTGCCCGAGTAAGTGCCGTCCCTCGGCGTATGACCCGTACCTGAAATGTTTCCCGTATAGGGTGAGCCAACACCCAGTAGAGAAAAACTCCTACTAGAGCTACTCCCCACCTTAAATGCATATGTAATGTGTATAAGCAACATTTAACATTTAACAATCATTTATACAAGAATATGTATTCAATGTTGAAATGTAACCATGTCATGCCATGAAATAAGATGATACTCACTCATACACTTAAACCCAAGTCCTTACTGACTTCCACAATACAATGCAATGCCAATTTGTAATGACCCGTCTTTGACGGAAATACATCCAATGATCGCTTTGAATAAAAAATCATACGTTTTATAAATCAGATCATTATTGGATGGTACTCATTAAATGAGTATTTTCTTATAAATCAAAATCTTGTGTCTTGTTGGGCAACGGATTTTGGATTTTATACCGTCGGTTCCATATACCATATTACACTTTTCCGAAATTTCACCACAGGAGAGTGTATAACCAAGTCGCCAGGTCTTGCACCCGAGGGAGAGTCTATCCCTACTTGCTATACCCGACACAAGTTTTCTTTCATGCAACCATGTGACTTAAAGGGGATCTTCGATCCACTTTTTCCCGAACCCACATACCAACCACCAAACAAGGTGTTTGATCAACCATGCATCTCACACACCCACACACATGACTTATGCCCATGAATGTGATGCCTCTATGCACAATGATACAATGTTCAATATGCTATGAATGACATATGAACAATCTCAACATATCGTGATAAGTTATGTTCTAAGCATATAGATACCATATTTGTCACAAATTCAATATATCATAACATGCATATAACAACAATTGCATTTCCAATCATAAATCATGTCATAAGTCCATAATTTCACTTTCATAATCATAGGCAAGTGATATCACAACTTTTAGGCTAATAACACACCTAATCATTAAGGCAAAATATAACACATAACAGCCCATGTAACGGTTTTTATCTAAACCACATAACAGCCCATACGTAGTCCACAAAATAGCCTAAAAATAGTCCGCAAAAACAGTCCAAAAACAGTCACAATTTCAGCCCAAGAACAGTCACAATTTCAGTCCATAACATGGCCTAAAAATAGTTCATAATTCAGCCCTTTAACAGCCGCTTAAACAGCCCAAATTCAGCCCTTTAACAGTCCTTAATTAGTGCACAAAACATCTCCTAATTAGTGCACAAAACAACCCTTAATTAGTGCACAAAACAACCCTTAATTGTGCACAAAATAGCCCTTATTTCAGCACCAAAACAGTCCATTTGGACAGCCCTTGGACAGCCCACATATAAATCAATTTCAGCCACTAAAAGTCCACTTAAGGTAAGAATAAAACCAAGGTAGGAGGGACCCTACCTCAATAGAAGTGTAAGAACTTCTATAACACCAAAACAACCTCAAAGTTTTGATTTTTTTCCAAAGTCTCCTCTTGGATCTTCGGTGAAATCCACTCTTTTTGGTATGTACGCGTAGCCCTTGTCGAGGAGATGAACTTTGGCTCTTGGTCCGAGTTGATCCGAGCAACGGAACTCCGAATATTGAAGAAGGAAGAATTATTTTCTCTCTTTTCTCTCCGACGTGTGAACCAGCAGAAAACCAGCAAAATACAGAGATATATCTGCTGAAATATCTAATATTTAACACTATTTATAATTTCCAAGACATGGCCCGAGTCGCGCCACGTGTCTCCCACTTGCTCGGTTCGTTTTCACCCCAAAACGATTTAATTTTGTACCAGTTTAAGTTCAAAATATTTATATAAAATTTATTTAAAATATTTTTCAATTTTCAAATTTTTTTTTAAAATTTCGTTTTTGGGGGTCATCGGACACCCGTCGCCTTGAAAAATGTGAAAAACTCGATTATCTCGGAATTCGATGAAAATTGACATGGCAGCTAGATTTTGCGATACGAATCCAACGGTGAGGTCCGTTTCATCACCCGAGGTCTAGTAAAATACCAATTTTTCAACCCGCGCTATAATGACAAATTACCATTTTGCCTTTTTTTTTAGAAAAAGTTAATATTGTTCCCGGGTTTCACAAAGATGTGCTTTCGAATTTTCATATGGAGTGTAACTTTGCTCAATGATGATGTGAGAAAGAGTGGAGATGAAACTGATGTCTCAATTGTCGAAATTGTGCTTGCACGCTTGTGTGGATTACAGAGATGGTGTTACAGGGGATGGAGAGAGAGAGAGAGAGGCAGAAAAGGACGGTGCTAGAAAATTGGGAAGTGTTAATTTAGCAGAGAAAGTTTGGCACCTTATTTTATTCCAACGAAATATAATTCCTTAAAAAAAATTTTGAAAAAAATATTTAGTAATGCCTGCCAAATAATTCCCCGCTACCATCAACCTTCCAATTCATGTAGACATCCAAAATTGCAAAGCAAGAGACAATGAAAGTACGTTCTCTCCCCCTTTTTTTGTCAAGAATTGCCAATAAGTGATAGAATGTATTTAAGCTTATAAAAGTGGCAAAATCGTAACATGATATAATATGCGATATGTGTAAGCTAGAGAGTGCACTGAACAAACCATTGGAACAATGCACAAGGTAGTGACGCAAAATGCTAGTGGTAAATATGTATATGTGCTAAAGAACATTCATGCTTGCTAACATACCTGCAGGATGAAGCTCAAAACGGGTATGTGATAGACTAATCGTGTTGTATACTAAAGATAGTTTATGCTGTGGGTGGGGTGCCCAACTTTACCAAGACACGTGATCTTTGTCATGACAATTGAACTAATTCATAGGGAACTAAACACAAGGACAGTTAAGTAATTCATCAAGGTCCAGGTCGGAGTGCCTTCCTACTACAAAGACTACCGGTATGGTTGTTAAGCATATTGGGCATCCATCATGTGTCATACTCCATATCATTACAAAAACATAAAGGAAAATGAGTGAACGATGTTTGCAAATAAAGTATGAGCGTAAGAGGCATATTTGCAATTGATTGAATTTCATTAGTCACATAAGAAACAAAACTTTCAATTATTTTGAAGTGTGAGTCCAATTTATGTCCATCTAAATAGATATAATAGAATTATATATGAATGACAAATCTTTGTGCAAAAACAAGCCAATCAATGTTTGTAATAGCTTTCTAGCTCAGCAATTTTAGTGGATTACATTGGAACATTTTCTCACTCACGCACCAAACTGAAGTTGGATTTTGTACAAAACCACATCTCAGAGGTAAATCGGACGAAGATGGCCCTCTATGTATACACCATCCCACTGCGGACCAAACCCAGTGTGAGGAGCTTATGAGTGGCCGAAGTACCATCAGGCCAATGCCTTGGAGGAGTTGTAATGGCATTTGAGTAGAAAAAGCTCTGACAAACTCCTACACCTTTTGAATCAAATAAACCGGATTGGCCTCCAACAGTAAATCGGCCGAAGTTATTTTTATTGTTTGTGGTTGAGGGAGGGTATTTTTTTTGGGGGGGGGGGGGGGGGAGGGTTAAAGTTCCAAAAGCAGATTTTTTTATTTGAAGCTTTTTGTATATCGATATCACATTATTTGCCACTACCGCCTTCAATGGGCCTCCTCTGCGAACTTTAGTGTCACGTAGCACTAGAAGATTAAATTGGCTTTTATTTAGTGAAATATATTTCAGCTCTTTGGATAACAACAGACAATTGTGAAAGTTAGTTACAACACCCAAACAATTGGCAAACTCATTGTCAACAAATGTATGCTAGTACTAGCTTGTCTCTTACACGGATCCAAAGTCATTATTTTTAATCTCATCCACCTTTCCATGTGCACTTGTAAACACAACGTCAAGGTTGTAAAGCACTGGGACCATGGTGACAGAACACAAGAAAACAAGAACAGGCCCAAAGATCCAAAGCAGAAGAGGAAGTGCTGCATAGAATAATCTGTTCCCCACAGTGTTGAGAACAAAACCCTTCTCCAGAAGCTCCGATACGTACTCCGGAGTGACTAAGCACGTATTTTCCTGTGGACAATTGACGAGGAAATTCACCTGGTTCACGAACCTAATGGAGAGAGAGTAGCAGATGAATGAGAAGAGGAAAATGAGGAGGAGCGTCACATATTTCAGTGCCAGCATGAATTCACCATGAGCTCCGTAAATGGCGTCGTTCAGTGGCTTCTTTACACTGTAGGTACTGCTTATCACAGCTGCTAGGCCACAACAGAGGAGGATAGATGTCGTGGCCATTAAGGTTGATCCCATGATTGTGTTTCGAAGTGTCTGGACGGCCAAGATGTTTTTCTTATCGTTGTCCTGTTCAAAGATAAATTGAAAAACTTTTTCACAAATGTGCCAAATATTAAAAGTGACTACCTTTATACTTTTCTTGACTTGATTGCAACTTCGGTCTATGGCTTATCAGTACTATTTGAACTAAAAATTTGATCTAATTTGTTGACATAATGATGTAATTTTAGCAGAATTATTAGATCAATATCAAGTTCCAATGATTGATGAGCCTCATAATCAATTCAAAAATTATAGTGAATTAGATCAACAAATTAGATCAATAAATTAAATTCCAATAGCATTATTCCTCCGGACTTGATTACACTGAGCATACGGTAATATATTCTGATTATATTGCTCTATAGGCTTTTCAGCCGCACCAATAACATTCTTTTTGAGAGAATCACATTGAGACTTATAAGATTTGTCACTTAATTCGATTGATCTCCTTACATATTGAAAAATTAATGTTATTGTGAATTAATTTATTGATTTAATTTATAGACTTAGTTCAACATGATTTCTAGATTGAATGTGAACTCTATCAAATATTATAATTTAATATTAATTTAACAATTATAATTAAAATATATCTTTAAGTCAATAAATTATTTACAATTTTTAGGTATAAATAACTTTACTATATGAAAAATGACATCGACACCTAACTTTAAATCCCGTTTGAGGGGCTGTTCAGTTTGTGTGATATCAGCATATTTTGGAAACGAAATTCCCACTTTACCCATTTAGAATCTCTCTTTCTCTCTCTCTCTCTCTCTCTCTCGTGTGGAAAAACAACCATCGGCAACCTCCAACCTCCATCCTGCAAAAATGCAGGTCACTTCCAGCACCACTCATAACCACCGATCAACTCCATGCACTCATTCCATTCGAAACCACATACCACTATCACCGTCTTCACCAAAATCCCTTCATCAAAACCCCCAACCCCTTGATCCCTGTTGTATGGTTTCACCGTTACAAGCGGCAGCAGAGGGGGCAAAAGCGAAACATATGGCAACTAAGATTCTTACAACTAAACTAGTTAAAGTTATGCACATATGCCATAAAAAAAGGAGCTAAAACATATGCGGCAGAGTTTTCTAGCAGACCAGTGGAAATAAGTTTTATAACTTCTCGTAAAAATACTACTATCTTACAGCTACGATTAAATTGGCTACACAAATGCTTTAATTATGGAGTTCTCAAAAATGGGGTGAGAAAATCAAAACCCACGGATTCTTGTTCCCACTCTCTCTCTCTCTGTCACTACACACACACTTTCTTCATTCTGACTAAGAATTAATAAGAAATACTACTCGCATGTGCAAAGCCAACCGATTAAGTGACGATGAAGAAACTCTTGACCGTTGCTTGGATGCTCAATGAATTGGTTGTAGGCTTGTAGCCCTTAATCCTATGGTAAAAGATCATAGCCATTTGCTTATGAGTTTTTGGAGCTACCCATACTTAGTTGTCTAACACACTATACTTGCATTTGAATGAAGCTAGAATTGATTACAACATATATAAGCTGTTCATATGGGTGATTTGGACCGTTGATAATAGTACTGAAGCTGAAACTTCAAAGGGTCTCAGTTTAGTACACGGACAGAAATTGTTACCTTCATCATGGCTGAGACCCACAAGCGCCGTCCGCTGGCATTTGTTCCAATGATGGTCTTCAAGGGTTGGGTTCTTACCTTATGCCATAGCCAGACGTGATAACCAACGCAAGTCAGAAACCCCAAAGGGACAAGTACAACATCCAGATAGCATTTTTTCCATTCCATCTCTCTCTCTCTCTTGTTTGTTTGTGCGTGCGTTTCTCTTCTTTCCTTGCCCCTGGTGTGGTTGCAGGTGGAAATATATACATAAGAGCAATGTTATCCCACCTAAAATAATGACGTATATTGTATTGAGTGATAGAATTTTAATAAAAAAATAATATAATAATATTTTTGAAGTTATTATTAGAACTTTAATAAGTCGGCCCTCATTCCATAAACAGAACAAAAATAATGTACGTGGACTTGATTGAATGCAAAATCCAACACCAAGCAAATAGAAAAAGCAACCGCTCGCTTTTTAGTAAGTTTTGGTGGGAATGACCAAATCATGGGGGAGTTTTGTTTCTTTCGGACCCTTGGGTATTTTGAATATCTATCAAAATGGTACACACACAAAACAACATACCAAGAAATGAAAAAGTAGAGAGGAAAAAAAAGGAGAGATGGAATAGAAAAAGAAAGGACTATGTTTTAGATGTTTTAGGAATGGATTAATAGGCAGAAGTTCATATTTTTTATTGTTTTGCTGTATTTTGAATTGTGGGTGTATCAAAATTTGAATTGACTTAATTACTTAAAACACAACAACTTTACCTATTAGAACTGGTATTACGTTTTAAAATCGTGATTGTTCAGGTGATTGGAATGAAATGTAAAGCTATCTCTGGATTATTTTTTTGCCTCAAAAATCAAGAATTTAAACTATTCCCCCAGGAGGAGACCAACAAAGAGGAAAATAAAAAGAATGGAATGTAATTGGAGCAAATAGTAAAGTAAATAAAAAATACAAAAGTGTTGTATAAACTACTGTGCTTGAATTGAAATTGAAAGAAGTCATCGGACTGACGATGAAACTACAGAATAAAATGAAAATATAAACTTAAACAATGTAGAGCAGGGCTTTGATATGTTGTTTATAGGACTGTTGATCCTGGGATTCCTTCTCTATTGCCTGGTCCTCTATTTTTATTGGCGATGGCTTCAAACCATTAGAGTTGTCTTTTCTAACCACAAAATCAGTGTTTGTGGCCTCTTTCTACAATGACTATGATTGTGCATCAAACCGTCTGTAACTAACGGCACCACGACATCACATCTAACATGCCTCTATAATTTTTTGAGGTGCTTAGATATCTTTTCTCATAACCGTCTTATCCCCTTTGACTTCCTCTAACTCAATTATAATCGTTGGATCTTGTTTTGTGTCCTTTCCATATTTTTTTTAATATCTGGTGTAAACATTGCCCTCCAAAACGACGTGATTATATGTTTTTCTTTCGGACTGCTTAACCCTCTTTGGCGCATGAAACTCAATGTCCATGTCTAGTCTCTCGACTTTCTTTCGTGTTTTCAAATTTGCGAGAAGAGGCACGTAATCTGATCATATCCTTTCACCATTACGACAATTCACCTTGCATCTTGTATATATGTCATGTCAAACTTGATTTTGTCATTACTCTGGCTTTTCAACCTTCCTTCCTTTGGCTATGGTGTCTTTTTCTTCTCGTACTACTTCCCTTCAAGATGTTGTAGCAGAAGTTCCTTAAAAAAGTTAAATAAACCATTTTCATTCCTGAACCTCTTCCGTTCATATGAGTTGGACACTTTCAATGGACCAATTGCAGCTCCAGCTACCCTATTCCTGCATTGAAATCCCTATGTTAATTGGATATCATGGTTTTCTCGCATCCAGGTGACCAAAGGCAACTTGGGGTGACGCTAGGTATTTCTAATGCCATAGACCTCAACACCATCACTAAGCCCATTGATAGATCACCTCTTCTTTCCTCTCTTCTCTTCTAGTCTGTGGCACACAATACCTTTCATCGTTGTTGTGGCATGATGACTTCTACTGTCTATGAAATATCTTCTCTCATTGGCCTTTCTCCTTTTGGTATTGGAGTTAATGCTCTGACCTCTTATCCAGACAAGCCTTGCCTACTATCGAGTGATGCTCATGGTAAACTGTTCTTGTCTTATTCTCATTTCATCACAACTTACTGAGGCTGAACCAACTCTAGGTCACAGACTATGAGCACATCTTTATTCGTGCTTTTTTGGCTCAATCATTTCTTATTCTTTGCGTCATCCTGCAAGATTGCCAAGGAATTTATTATGTTTTCCATCAACTTGGTTGTGCGAGCATCCTATGTCTTGGCTCTTGTTATGCTTGCCCACCTTCACCGAGGGATGTCTAAGATGATTGCCTTCGATATGCTTAAAGGCTCGGCCCCCCTCTAGGTTCTATAGTTATGGCTTTGTGCCTAGTTTTTGAAGCTTTCCATCTCTCCTAAGTTTGACCCTGATGTCTCTTATGGTTGACTTTATGCCATGGCCCCATATAGAGAATATACTTTCTTCGATAGTTTTAGATTTTTCTTTGACCAGGCAGAAACACGACCCGTTTGGATGTCGTTCCCTTGAAATTGAGGTCTCGAATAGCTTCTTTACGCCCCTGGAAAGGTACCTTCCGACCTAGAGTGCTTAGTATGAAAACTCTTATTATTCATACCTCCACCCCAACGATCTTCATTATGACCTTGGACATTCTTCCGATCCTAATGCTTATTGTGGCATGGGAAACACATGCCTCAATTGCAATTCTCCCACCAATTAGGTCTGGTTCCACATGCTCCAATCCCTTTGTCACTCTTAATACTAGATTTAACAATTGGAAAACTCTAGGGGATTCTTGCCTGATCCAGGATGTCCCCCAGTACTTCTCCATAGATTATCAGTTCTTCCATGTGGTCCTTTTTAAAGCCATGTCCAAGGCTACTCCATTTTTTAAGACGTGGTGGAATTGCTATGTCCCGAGCCAATTTGACATTGACCTATCCACTATAGATATTCTGGGTTGCATTCCTCATTCCCCTAGGCCATCAAGCTCAAGGACTTGCTCTATACAAAATTATTCTTCCTTTTCTTCATGTCGACAGCCATATAGAAAGAGTCCTCTAGGGGTAGTTGATCTCAAGTCATCTACTAGCTATCATTTGTCTCCTGAATCAAGATGTAAGGAAAAGTTTTGTCTTGTTCTAATTGAACTGGTTGTGGAAGACCATAGGCGATGATCAAGACAAAGAAGCACTTCTTCCTCTTAGTGTACGTCCTCGCAATGAGAATCCTTCAACTCTTGTCTCTACATCTGATGACCCTTCTTCGGAAGGCATCTTTGATGGTTTGGTGGCCCAAGGGCCAACCAATGATCCCATTCCAATGGCCCAAATTATGGTTGTTGCACCCTTGGCCTCCTTTACCATTCCAAATGAGATGGAGATAGAGCCACCAAGTACGGAAGTGGTTGTTGATGCTATAGAAGTCCAACCAATGCTTCCTATCGTCCTAGCAGGCCCTTAGATTACCCTTGTTGTGTTCTTATCTCTTCCTTATGTTGAAAATCCATTACTCTTTCTTTCTCTTTTTTTGAGGCTGTTGTGCAAGCTTAGTATGTGACTTCTTTTCCTGAGTCCAACTTTTTCCTCTTTGCTTGCGTTAGTGAGAGCAAGACTATCTTCTATCCTAGTGTTTTTCCAAAATTTGGATTGGATTTTGGATTTTGAATTCGAGGAGGCTCGAGAAATCCTGAACTTGAACGTATAGGGCCATTTGAACATTCTGCTAGATGAGCTAGAACTCCTTGAAGTTCGACTCTAAGTAGTTAGGAAATTTTTTGAGTCTCCACTACTCTTCCAAAATACTGTCAAGTTCTAGTCCATATCGCTTATGGACCTCCAATGTCCTTCAAGAGGCTGAGTAACTATATCAGAAGCATCGAGATTGCCTTGTTGTTCATAATGCCCGTCGGGACTTGCTGCTAAACTTAAAGGATAATGTTGATCAATTCACTGGTGTGTTTGGAAGACATAACACTTTCCTTAAAAAAAAAATCTTTGTGAATCATCAAATTGTGGAGTTGGAATCTCATCGTGCCTCGCATATTGATGAAGTTTCTTCCTTGGATGCCCAATTTCAACAACTAGGGCCTACAATGCCGTGAATGGCTCCTTGTATACCTTAGAGGCCCTTTTTTTTCTAACCTTGCACAACCTCTTGAAAAAGGAATAAATATATTTAGAATTTTTGTCTTTTCACTTTTATTTTTGTTTTCATTTTGCGTGTGACTCTCGACCTAACCATGATTTAACTAATTATTAATTCCACTAACTCATGCAATTGTTGTTCAATTTTCATTTATGAATGTAGTCGATCTTTATCCATTACGTTAAATGATGATGTTTCATCCCCTCCATCATAATGAATATTTGATGGTTTCCAACGCATGGCCATTAGTTCCTCCTAACAATCCTGGATATACCAAGACTTTCCAATGTTTCGCAAACCCTCTATTCCTCCAGATTAAAAGCGGAGGCCAAGCGAAGATGATCTTTCTAATTATCAAAGCATTTCTCATTCGGTCTTAAGCCTCCTTGTTTCTTTTACCTTCTTCCTTATCATTCAGAGTTCTTTTTACCAACATACCCCATGTGCTTCTGAAAGATGGGTACCTCACTACGCAAACACCTTTTGGCCATATTGTAGGGCCCACATAATATGATGGAGGTACTATTGAACGATCGACATATGCCTAATCTAGAAAAATCTAGAGTAGGCTTTGCATTTGGTTTCACATGCCTCTAATGATCCACTTACATGAGTTCCCTTAGCGGCGGCTAACCGTTATGATAAGGGAAATGACCTTATCATACTCCTTTTTTAAGTTATCGATTGCATGGGTGGAACACATCCCTCTTTCTGCTCCTTTATTTGCTTTAGCAATCAAGTTATCATCCAAAAGCTAGTGGCTTTCCGCCTTCAGTCTATTTCATGCCATACCATATCATTGCTTTAATTTATCCACATGTTATAACCATTGAAGTTTATTGGAACTTTATGAATAAAAATGAAATTTCTTTTTGACTACTCATCGCATTTAGTTTTTGTTCCAACGTATGTACAAAACCATCAAACTCAGTCATCTAACTTCACTGTCGTCGGCCTTTCTGGACCACTGATAACACTATACACTTTTTCTCAGCTTTCTGCACACTCTATAGCTTCCTAGACTATTGGTCGATAGGCTTGTAGAAATTTCCTATTAATAGAGCAATGATGCATTTCACCACTTAAAATTTTTTAATGGTAAATACCAATTTTATTTACTTCATGAACTTCAAACGTTCCCTTTGAATTAACAGACCATTTACCAAACTTAAGGTTATTAGCTCCCAAAGGCAAATTGGATTTCCACACTAAGTCCCCAACCACGAATAGTTTCTCCTTGACTCTTTTGTTGTACACTTAAGAAGCCCTGAGGTTTTGGACCTTAAGGCAATCTAGTGCGCCTAACCTAGCTTCGTCAAGTTCTTCAAGTTCCATGAGCATGGCCCCATTGTACTTGGTAGGACTCAAGTTGTGTCAAAAAATAACTCTTAAAGACTTCACGGTCATTTTCATGGGTAAGACCGCGTTGTGTTCGTAAGTTTATTTGGATAGTGTGATCCCATTACTTGGCCGTTTAGATGTCATATAAGCCCATAAATCATAATAGTTTGGATAGTCTTTCATGTCAGCATCTTGGATTGTCTTCCACCATTTTGGCAATTGTCCCTCTTCATGATTTTGTTGGTAAATTCCATCTGACTATTTCCTTGTGCGTAATATGGTGTTGAATGGATGATACTAAATTCATACTCTTCTGCAAACCTTTTGACTTCACTTCCCACAAAGACCGTGTCTTGATCAGCCATTATATGTTAGGAAGACCAAAATGGTGCACAATGCTTTCCTTAATCATTTCTATCACGCTGGTCTAATTAAGGAATAACTAGTTATAAAAATGATTAAGGAATGTTGCTTTGTAGATGGCAGAAATATTTTTTCAATTAAGTCCATGAGCAATGCTCGGAATGACCAAGACTTTGTCACCAGGTGCATTTCAGCTATTGGCGCCCTTTGAATAGGACCATGATGCTGGAATGCCTAACAGCCTTTTGCATATTCTATGTAATCCTTTAGGATACTCGACCAATCGTAGTCATATCTTCTTATTAGCCATCATATTTTTATGCAAGTTTGATGAGCTCCGTATATACCTTTGTGGTCTTTGACCATTACTAGCGTGACCTTTTCTTTCCCAGTGCACCTTAGAAGCAAGTCATCATGCACTCCTTTCTTGTAAACCTCTACATCCATGATTATGTAGTTAGTGACTTTTCTTTTTGTAGATTGCTTGAAATTTTTGCTGGGATTCATAAGGAATTTTACAATTCCATGCCTCCAATCTTGTTCTTCAACTTCGATGACCAGCTCCTCAAAGTACATGCCTCTAGTCTTAATTGTTGGCTATACCCTTCGTTGAACCTTAATTAGCTACTCATCAAGGCTATGCAGAATCCTTATTCCAGATCTCAATTGTGCCAAATCGTGTACTTGGACATTTAGCCCTCTTGGAACTGGGCGCAATGTGACACCATCAAAGTTTGACAACAAGGAAATTGCAATTGAGTGTAATGGGCACAACTCCCAACACTTGCATTGAAAACTACCTACAAGCTAATTAATAACTAATTGAGAGTCGCCTGTAATCTCTATAGAGGGTGCCCCCAATCTTATATGTACTTCTAAGCCGATTATATTCGACTTAATTGTTGCTGGCCTCAATGTCTGTCTTATAATAAAATTGGGTTTCTCAACCTTATGGTGATATTATAATAACACTACCTCTTGTGAATTTTCAATGTAAAATCCGGGTAAATTTGAATTTTTATGAAAAGGGCAAAATGGTAATTAGCCATTGTAGTACAGGTTGAAAACCCAAATTTTTTAGAACTCAGATGATGAAATGGACCTCACCGTTAGATTTTTCTCGCGAAATCTAGTTACCCAATCAATTTTCATTGAATTTCAAGACAATTGAATTTTTCGCATTTTGTAAGGCGATTGAGTGTCGCATGACCAAAATAATCGCGACCAGGAATTAAATTGCAAAAAATAGAATATAATTCAAAGTAAGTTAAAATAAAAATATACTGAACTTGAATTGAGGCAAGATTTAATTAATTCAGAATGAAATTGAACTTGGGAAAGAATGATGTGGGCCACAACGAGGGAAGAGTATCTAAGGGGTATAAATACGGGAGGAAAATCAAATTTTCTCCCCATTATCCATCATATTTTATGAAAAAGGGAGAGGAGAGGAGAGAAAAATCAAGGATTTTCTTCATCATCTCTCTATGATCTAGAGCAAACCCTTGGTCGAATCGATTTGGGCCAAGATCCAAAGTTCATCTACGTGACGAGGGCAATGCCTACGTACCAAAATACATAGATTTTGACAAAGTTCAAAAGATGGGATTTTGGAAATCAAGGGTTAGAGCTTGATTTTGGTTTTGGGAGTTTTTCTACCACTTGCTTTACCCTTCAAGAGGTAGTGTTCCTTTCCTAATTAGATTTATTTACAACCTAGGGTTGAAATATATAATGGGTAGGGTTTTAGAGATATAATCTCATATATGACACATACCTAGGGTGATTGAAATGTAGAAAATGGGTATAAGAATGGTTAAAATCAATTCTTGCATGGATTGAGTTTGTTGAAATTTCTTGTTTATGATTTCTTTAGAAATGTGATGGTTTGGGTATATTATGTGTTACATGATTTTGTGCCTTAAAGGTGTTTAATGAAATGCCTATGTGGATTAAGTGTGTTATTTACATTGATTTCATTATAACATGCTTGGGAATTGATGTTGGTTTATGCATTATAATACACTAACATTGAGGTCATTGATGGTGGTTATATGCTTATGATGTAATTGACCATGAAAAAAGGTTGATGGATATTTAAGTTTTTTCATATTGTGCTCATCATGACATATTGAACTTGATATTGGAAATGCAATGTACATCACATTTGCATTTGAATGGAAAACATCGCATTCGTGGGCATGTGACATGAGTGTAGGTGTGTGTGTATGTTTACGAATCAAACACCACTCTTAGTGGATGATATGTGAGCTCAGAAAAATGGGACCATAATTCGACTAAGTCACACAGTTTGCATTGAAAATAGGGTTGGAGTTAGCAAGAAGGGCTAGATTGTCCCTCGGGTGCAAGACCTAGTGAGTTGGGATACACACTTTGTTGGTATCAAGTCCATAAAGTGTGTTAGAGTATGTAGAGCCGTTGGTGGAAGTTTGTAAATGCCGTGTCAGTTGGGTGTCCATTGGTGTAAGTCCATAAATACACACCCTAAGAAAGACATGAGATTTATAAATGGTCATTGGATGTTTAACATCAATGGCAGGGGCTTGGAAGACTCGGATTCATACGCATCATATTGCATATATTATGGGAGT